CTCGACGGGCCTCGAAGGGGGGAAAACGCGATGGGCCAGCAGGGGGGAGGAAGGTCGCTACGCTACTCGAGTAGGGGATCGGCGGAACGGGCGGTAACGAAGGAACGGGACGAGAGCGGGCCGGCGCTAGGCTCGGGCAAGACGTGCGTAAGTAATACGAGAGAGGGAGACAGGCTCGGGCGATACGAACGAGGTCGGGAGGAACGGGATCCTACAGGATCCTAACCTAGGTGATACCATCTCAAGATCGGAAGTGTTGTTTCATTGATGGTGGTTGGGGTACAAGTAGCAAACCCTAACATACGTACCCCCAAAGACACATCTCACTACAGGCTACCAACATTTGACAGCAATCTGTGGGACCCTTAAGGGTAAGAAGTGACTTTTGTAGGAGTAGCAATGATTAGTGCAAAGTTTTTTGTAGTTTCTGATACCGTAGCAAACCCGTACGAACCCACCTATGCGCTGCATACAGCATGCATGAATATACAGAGCTAGCCACAACCAACAGAACGTTAGTCAGGCAAATCCTTTGCATACGAGAGTGATTGCTCACTTTTCATGCAATACAGGAATGGTCAGGAATGGTCCAGATCCAAACTACCGGTAGAAAAAAACTGTTGCTGGTACTAAATGATATCACGAAAGAAATCATGAGCTCAAAGCTAGCAAACTTCTACACTGCCAGCTTCGGTAATGGGGAACTAAACGGACTGGCGTATGCACTAGTAGGGTGTACAGCTTATCCCCCTGCTGGGGACGCAGACAGCTGGGCTTGCCGGGTGTGGGTACAGTAACACATTACTGTACACCCTCTTTCTCTCCATTGTGAATTTGGTTTTAGGGGAGTTAACATGGAAAAAACACGGTTCGAGGTGGTTTAATTACGTTCTGGCATGGTTCATGTAGGCAGATCGAAGATAACAAGGTTTGCCACCAGTTCCGCACAGTTCAGTGTAGCGAGAAACAGGGTGTATAGTAGCTTCAACGGTTGCCCGCTGACACCTTGACAACAGTCAAGGACAACCCTATCAGGGAAATCTGCAAGGGGACCATAACAACAACCCATCCCCTCCCATGACGTGCTGCGACGTCGAAATCTGGTTACTACTATATTCCTCCTCGTTCACTTCGCAAGCCTCCTAGTCGCGGCTATTCCGAACGAACGGCGCCGATTTCCTTTGTCTTCATCTGTGAGCGATGCCTTTGAAATGTGCGTCGCTGCATCAGCCGGGGATCCTCCCGGTTGCCGGGTGCGATGACAAGCCGGGTCTACCGGGTATGATCCCTACTACTGTTCTTTACTTTCACTGTACAGGCGCTCGTCCGATCGTCCGTTGACAACTCGACAGATCCTCTGTCAACGACATGAGGCGGACATGCAAGTCAACGACAAGCACAAGGAACATTCAACAGACAGCTGCGGTAGTACATTGCTGGGATGATGTCGAAATCTTTTTACTGTCATACAGCGCCTCGAATTTTGCTTCGCAAGCCTTCTACTAAGTCGCGGCTATCCATCCTCAGAACATGGAACGAACGGCTCCGTGTTGCTACGTTTTCATCTGTGAGTGATGCCTTGAAAAGCCGTAACTAGTTCAACCAGTATCGTCCTATCATGATGACATCCTGTCGTAGTAACGTGTGATGTCATTTTGAGCCTCAGGTGTAATGCTCTCCCTGGGTGCGGCGGCTTCGGCAGCGTTGCTCCAATCGCCCTCCACCTCCACGCCGTCCCTAGCGCTTCCCCTCGCGGTGTCGGTTCCACTCGGCAAACCTTTGGTGAAAGGGAAGGTTTTAAGTGAGTGTTTCCTGCCTATATTAATGAAATACACGAGTTCACTTAAACTTGAAGTTATCCGACTATACGCGTCTTAATACTGGTTTCATGATACCGTCTTATCTAGTTGTGGTGCGGCATTGACGATCACCCACTCCAAAGTTGTGTTTGCGAGTTCCCAAAAAGTTGTGTGCGCCAATATAGTGCTTTTGAACGAGTCTGAAGCCACTTGTGCTAAACAACACTGCTCAAGAACCGCAGCCGGGCAGCTTGTACTACGAGGTGACTTTTGAGTCGACTCAAAAGTCACCTTGTGCTAAAAAACGCTGCCCAATAACCGCAGCCGGGCAGCTTGTTCTACGGAGCCACTTTGAAGAGTGTCATCATCTCCTGACTCGAGTCTCTCCCCCTCTCTCTCTCCGCCCCTCTCTCTCTCCCTCTCTCTCTCTCTCTCTCTCTCTCTCTCTCTCTCTCTCCCTCGCTCTCTCCCCCTCTCTCTCTCCCCCTCTCTCTCTCTCTCTCGCCCTCTGTCTCTCCACCTCTCTCTCATCTCCCCTCTCTCTCCCCCTCTCTCTCCCCCTCTCACTCCCCCCCGCTCTCTTCCCCGCTCTCTTCCCCTCTCTCTTCCCCTCTCTCTTCCCCCCTCTCTCTCTCCACCTCTCTTTCCACTCTCTCTCTCTCTCTCTCTCTCTCTCTCTCTCTCTCTCTCTCTCTCTCTCTCTCTCTTGTCACCGTGCCTGCCCTTGCATTTGTAGTGGTCCGTACAATCAAGCTCCATCCCACACGTAGGAAGGGAAAAGTGGTGGGAGACCAAGGAGCATCCGGGAAAATATGGGTCAAAGGAATCAAGTAAGTTGATACTACACTGCAGCATGTATCTTTCACTAGTAGTGCGCGCCATGACAGTCCTACTATGCATATTTCACCAGTGTGGGTGTGCCATGACAGTACTCCTAGCCATGACGAGTCCTGCTGCTTGGTGGTCCCTACCGGTACTTAATCTCCCCTTTTCTGGTTGGCAGGGCTGGAAAAGACTACTATTTCGTGTTAAAGATTCGTATGGACAATATCAAGTCGGGGGGGGCTTTTCCTCTCTACAAAACGTTACCGTCTGGTAGTTCATGTTTTGATGGCGGCGCACATTCAGCGAGTTACGCGTCAAGCATTCCATGGAAAAACATAACCAAGACGGGTGGCAAGCTTAAGCGTTACAGTTTCACGGTGGCAATGGTGGGGAAAGGGTCATCAAGGCAACTCTCAAGCAGACCTTTATGACAACTTGTGCAGAACTTGCTTCAGTTCAGGTCCAACTATTGTGTCTCATCCAAATAACAACTTTGCGCTCTGTGGGAAGATTAAGAAGTGCCTTTCGAATTGTTATTACGGTAGTACCGCAGGTATGTTTAGTGCAAAGTGTTGTACCAGGCAGTTTTTCGTAGTTTATGAGGGCGTGTTCCTGTGGCCCCTTATCAGGCTAACCTCTCGTCAGACTTTGTCCTTGCGAGCGATTTCGTTTTAGACACCGTTTTTTCAGGCTTGAAAAGTAACATTGCTGGGCGATGAATTGGTCGCGCAGAAATCATTCACACGTAATGTTTCAGCAAGCCATGGCCAGGTAATTGCCCAAAGCACGTGTGAAAGGGCCACAGTCGGATATGAAGCATGCGAGCATTTTTCTGCCAAACACATGTTTGTTTGGACTCAGGGAAACTTGTTTGTTTGCCACATTTCGAATGGAGGGGAACACAGGATATGGGCGCAGCGCAAATACGGTATTATATATAAATAATGCATCCACACCACTCAGATAACCTAATGACTGTACGACCAAAGAAAGTACGTACGGTATGGCTTCTACTTCATCAGAGTACACAAAATGATTCATACCATTACAACAACATGCTATTCCAGAACTTGCAAGAGCCCAGACCTATAATACAACAATGTGCTACACAGCATTCCATACGCATGCATCCATGGCTTGAATTGGATTGGATTGGATCCATAGCCTACACCAGCAACAACCTCCCAGCCTACTGCCAAAGCCGTCCGGCCCAAAGAGCCCCACACGTGCTGGTGAATCTGGCGCCAACAGAATGCTGGAGGTTCGATCTCACGTCTTCCTCCTCCCCTTAGGTTTCTCCACGCTTGACTGCTGCTTATCCGCTGTCTGCACATACCCCGCATCACATAGGCAGTTTGGGATACACCCCCACAGCCACCCCCTTCCCCCCGCCTCTCCCCTCTTGGCAAACCAGGAGACATGTACGTCAACTAGCATAAAAGGCACCTGGCAGTTACGGTAGGCCTCACTTCTTCCGCCCCTTGGGTTTCTTCATGCACGATTGCGTATCTGCTGTCTGCACTGCACATATCCCTTGTCACATAGGCAGTTTGGATCCACCCCCCCAGCCTTGACAAACCAGGTGGCTTGTGATTCGACTTAAACAGAAGCCACCTGGCAGGTCAGCCTCACTTCTTCTTCCGCCCCTTGGGTTTCTTCACGCACGACTGCTTATCAGCTGTCTGCACATACCCCGCGTCACACAAACAATTCGGATCCACCCCCTTGGCAAACCAGCACGCCCCGTGCCCCCCGCACGGGTTCTCCCCTGCATTGCAAAACCGCTTGCACGTGCTGGCAGCAACCTGGGTCTGCACCTTCCCGGCCTGGTAGCACGCGGAGGTGGTGGGGTATGTGAGGCAGTTGTATGCGATGGACGACTGGTAGAAGATGCCCCTGCGGGTCTGGTCTTGCGGGCACGAGGTGACGCCCCCGGCGGTGACGGAGGCGGGACCGTAGAAGAAGTTGTGGTGCAGGTTGTATTGACCGGCTGAGAGGATCGTTCCGTTCTTGAAACCCGTGGGTAGGGGGCCGGATAGCATGTTGTCGTGCAGGTTGCTGGTAGGGGGGTGGGTGGGGGAAGGGGAGCAACAGAAGAGTTAGGTTGGTTGGGGAAGTTGTAGTGCAGGTTGTATTGACCGGCTGAGAGGATTGTTCCGTTCTTGAAACCCGTGGGGAGAGGGCCAGACAGCATGTTGTTGTGCAGGTTGCTGGTGGGGGCGGGGTTGGGTGAGAGAGGAGGAGATGCTTTTGAGGCGCTACAGAGAGAAGGGATGTGGTAGGGTGGACTGATGGGGCAGAGAAGACGGGGGAGAGAGAGGAGAGGAGAAGGGATGAGGAGAGGACAGAAATGATGCAGAGAGCAGGAGAGAAACGATGCCGAATGCAGAACAAAAGGAGGAGGAGGTGACGGACGGCTGCAGTGGAGCTAAGCTCACATGGCACTGCGCTTACATGGCACTGCGCTTACATGGCACTGCGCTCACATGGCACTGCGCTTACATGGCACTGCGCTCACATGGCACTGCGCTTACATGGCACTGCGCTCACATGGCACTGCGCTCACATGGCACTGCGCTCACATGGCACTGCGCTTACATGGCACTGCGCTTACATGGCACTGCGCTTACATGGCACTGCGCTTACATGGCACTGCGCTTACATGGCACTGCGCTTACATGGCACTGCGCTCACATGGCACTGCGCTCACATGGCACTGCGCTTACATGGCACTGCGCTCACATGGCACTGCGCTCACATGGCACTGCGCTCACATGGCACTGCGCTCACATGGCACTGCGCTCACATGGCACTGCGCTCACATGGCACTGCGCTCACATGGCACTGCGCTCACATGGCACTGCGCTCACATGGCACTGCGCTCACATGGCATTGCGCTCACATGGCACTGCGCTCACATGGCACTGCGCTCATATGGCACTGCGCTCATATGGCACTGCGCTCACATGGCACTGCGCTCACATGGCACTGCGCTTACATGGCACTGCGCTCACATGGCACTGCGCTTACATGGCATTGCGCTCACATGGCACTGCGCTCACATGGCACTGCGCTCACATGGCACTGCGCTCACATGGCACTGCGCTCACATGGCACTGCGCTCACATGGCACTGCGCTTACATGGCACTGCGCTCACATGGCACTGCGCTTACATGGCACTGCGCTCACATGGCACTGCACTTACATGGCACTGCGCTCACATGGCACTGCGCTCACATGGCACTGTGCTCACATGGCACTGCGCTTACATGGCACTGCGCTCACATGGCACTGCGCTCACATGGCACTGCGCTAACATGGCACTGCGCTTACATGGCACTGCGCTTACATGGCACTGCGCTCACATGGCACTGCGCTTACATGGCACTGCGCTCACATGGCACTGCGCTCACATGGCACTGCGCTCACATGGCACTGCGCTTACATGGCACTGCGCTCACATGGCACTGCGCTCACATGGCACTGCGCTCACATGGCACTGCGCTCACATGGCACTGCGCTCACATGGCACTGCGCTCACATGGCACTGCGCTCACATGGCACTGCGCTCACATGGCACTGCGCTCACATGGCACTGCGCTTACATGGCACTGCGCTCACATGGCACTGCGCTCACATGGCACTGCGCTCACATGGCACTGCGCTCACATGGCACTGCGCTCACATGGCACTGCGCTCACATGGCACTGCGCTCACATGGCACTGCGCTCACATGGCACTGCGCTTACATGGCACTGCGCTTACATGGCACTGCGCTCACATGGCACTGCGCTTACATGGCACTGCGCTCACATGGCACTGCGCTTACATGGCACTGCGCTCACATGGCACTGCGCTCACATGGCACTGTGCTCACATGGCACTGCGCTTACATGGCACTGCGCTCACATGGCACTGCGCTCACATGGCACTGCGCTTACATGGCACTGCGCTCACATGGCACTGCGCTTACATGGCACTGCGCTCACATGGCACTGCGCTCACATGGCACTGCGCTCACATGGCACTGCGCTCATATGGCACTGCGCTCACATGGCACTGCGCTCACATGGCACTGCGCTCACATGGCACTGCGCTCACATGGCACTGCGCTCACATGGCACTGCGCTCACATGGCACTGCGCTCACATGGCACTGCGCTCACATGGCACTGCGCTCACATGGCACTGCGCTTACATGGCACTGCGCTTACATGGCACTGCGCTCACATGGCACTGCGCTTACATGGCACTGCGCTTACATGGCACTGCGCTTACAGAAGGTTTAGTTTGGGCAGAGAGAGAATGCCTCGAGGAAGGGAGCCGTAGAGATCGTTGCTCTCTAGGTAGCTGATAGCGGGCGGGGGAAGGTGGGAGGATTGTGGATAAATAAGGCGTGAAAATAAGATATGGTGTAGAGGTAACATGTGCGGCGCAAGAGAGAGGTGACAGGAACGGGAGAGAGGGTGGCGGCAAGGTGACAGGCGAGTGGATGAATATGGTGCAAAGATGTCATTCTGTTTTGGGATAAGACATGGTGCAGAGGTAACAAATGTGGTGTAAGTCATGGGGAGAGAGCGAGCATGGCATGAGGCAGCATGGCATGAGGCAGCATGGCATGAGGCACAGCAGCTCTCTGGTGTCTCCATGGAGCAAGGCTGCGGAGGAGGGACGCATGCAGCAAAGCAGCACAAGGACTCACAGCAGCAGCAGGGCAGGCACTCACAGCAGCAGCAGGGCAGGCACTCACAGCAGCAGCAGGGCAGGCACTCACAGCAGCAGCAGGGCAGGCACTCACAGCAGCAGCAGGGCAGGCACTCACAGCAGCAGCAGGGCAGGCACTCACAGCAGCAGCAGGGCAGGCACTCACAGCAGCAGCAGGGCAGGCACTCACAGCAGCAGCAGGGCAGGCACTCACAGCAGCAGCAGGGCAGGCACTCACAGCAGCAGCAGGGCAGGCACTCACAGCAGCAGCAGGGCAGGCACTCACAGCAGCAGCAGGGCAGGCACTCACAGCAGCAGCAGGGCAGGCACTCACAGCAGCAGCAGGGCAGGCACTCACAGCAGCAGCAGGGCAGGCACTCACAGCAGCAGCAGGGCAGGCACTCACAGCAGCAGCAGGGCAGGCACTCACAGCAGCAGCAGGGCAGGCACTCACAGCAGCAGCAGGGCAGGCACTCACAGCAGCAGCAGGGCAGGCACTCACAGCAGCAGCAGGGCAGGCACTCACAGCAGCAGCAGGGCAGGCACTCACAGCAGCAGCAGGGCAGGCACTCACAGCAGCAGCAGGGCAGGCACTCACAGCAGCAGCAGGGCAGGCACTCACAGCAGCAGCAGGGCAGGCACTCACAGCAGCAGCAGGGCAGGCACTCACAGCAGCAGCAGGGCAGGCACTCACAGCAGCAGCAGGGCAGGCACTCACAGCAGCAGCAGGGCAGGCACTCACAGCAGCAGCAGGGCAGGCACTCACAGCAGCAGCAGGGCAGGCACTCACAGCAGCAGCAGGGCAGGCACTCACAGCAGCAGCAGGGCAGGCACTCACAGCAGCAGCAGGGCAGGCACTCACAGCAGCAGCAGGGCAGGCACTCACAGCAGCAGCAGGGCAGGCACTCACAGCAGCAGCAGGGCAGGCACTCACAGCAGCAGCAGGGCAGGCACTCACAGCAGCAGCAGGGCAGGCACTCACAGCAGCAGCAGGGCAGGCACTCACAGCAGCAGCAGGGCAGGCACTCACAGCAGCAGCAGGGCAGGCACTCACAGCAGCAGCAGGGCAGGCACTCACAGCAGCAGCAGGGCAGGCACTCACAGCAGCAGCAGGGCAGGCACTCACAGCAGCAGCAGGGCAGGCACTCACAGCAGCAGCAGGGCAGGCACTCACAGCAGCAGCAGGGCAGGCACTCACAGCAGCAGCAGGGCAGGCACTCACAGCAGCAGCAGGAACCAATGAGTACTCATGGAGCAGCAGAGCAGGCACTCACAGGATAGTGAGCTCTTTGAGTCGGCTGATGCCGTCCGGGATGGTGCCCGTGAGCTGGCCGTTGTCCAACAGACTGGTGTGAGGGAAAAAGAGGAGGAAGGGGGAGAGGAGGAAGGGGAAGCGAGGTGGGGGAAATGGAAGGAAGTTTTGAGTCGTCTCAATACTCTGTCCTTGGGTAGGGTGATGCCGTCCGGGATGGTGCCCGTGAGCTGGCCGTTGTCCAACAGACTGAGGGACGCAAAGGGTGAGGGGGAAGGGGGAGAGGGGTAGGGGTGAGGAGAAAAGGGGAGGAAGAAACCGTTAACAACGGAAGGCTGAGGGGGAAATGATTTTGGAGGCAGGGAGGTGGAGACAAGCAGTTGTGCAGAAAGGTGAGCACAAGAAGGTCTTGGCATGGCATGGCATGGAACAAAATGGAATTGATGTGATGGATGCGACTCGGTGGGCTTAGTACGGTGCATGTGTGCATGCCACATGGTGCGACATGGTGCCACACGGTGCAAAACGGTGCCACACGGTGCGTACATGCGTGAGAGCTTGGTGAGCTTGGAGATGGTTGCAGGGATGGTGCCGTTCAAGGGCACAAACTCTGCCACCCTGCGGTGAAGAGCGGTGAGGAGGGGTGGGGACGGGTGTGACGAGGGGAGAAAGGAGCAAGAGGAGAGAAGACGTTTGGAGAGAAGTGAAGAAGGTGAGAAGATGCAGGTTGTGTCTAGTGCAGTGCAATGGCAGCAGCAACAGAGGTGGCTTTGAGTCGACTCAGAGGAGCAAGACGAGAGAAGAAGTTTGGAGAAAAGTGAAGAAGGTGCGAAGATGCAGGTTGTGTGCAGTGCAGCATGCAATGGCAGCAGCAACAGCAGCAGCAGCAGCAGTGCTGAAAAGCAGTGAAACGGTGATGAGCGGTTGAGGAGCGGTGAGGCGCAGTGAGGAGCGGTGAGGAGTGTTGAGGAGGCGAGCACGTACAGGTCGGTGAGCCACTTCATGTTGCCCAGGTTTGCAGGCAGAGTGCTTTGCAGATAGGGATTGCTGCTCATGAATCTGATTGGGTGGGGGAGGAGGGGAGGGAGGAAGGAAAAGGCACACGAGATGAGTGAGGTCAGGTGCGACAAGCAGAGTGCCTTCCAGATAAGGATTGCTGCTCATGAATCTGGTTTAAGGGGAGGGAGCGAGGGGAGAGAACACGAGATGAGTGAGCTCAGGTGCGTTAATGGACGTTGGGGGCTTGATGGGGGCTACAGGAAACATGTGCATTGGCAGAGGCGAACAGGGATAAGAGGATGGACAAAGGTGGTGGAGGCTCACGGGATGGGCAGAGGCAGGTGGGGCTGAGAGGATAGGCAGAGGTGGGTAGACGGGTGGGGGCTCGCAATATGTTGAGGTTGGTGAGACGCGTGAGGGAGATGGGGAGGGGACCATTTTTGTTGGCATCACAGAAAGCAGAGGCGGTTTTGGGGGTGAGAGCTCACAGGATGTTGAGGTTGGTGAGACGCGTGAGAGAAATGGGTAGGGGACCGATGAAACTGTTCTGATTGATGAATCTGCATGGAGGGAGGAAGAGGGTGGGGAGCGGAGAGGGGGAGAGAAGGGGGGAGAGAAGGGGGGAGAGAAGGGGGAAGAGAAGGGGGGAGAGAAGGGGGGAAGAGAAGGGGGGAGAGAAGGGGGAAGAGAAGGGGGGAGAGAAGGGGGAAGAGAAGGGGGGAGAGAAGGGGGAAGAGAAGGGGGGAGAGAAGGGGGAAGAGAAGGGGGGAGAGAAGGGGGGAGAGAAGGGGGAGAGAAGGGGGGAGAGAAGGGGGGAGAGAAGGGGGAGAGAAGGGGGGAGAGAAGGGGGGAGAGAAGGGGGAAGAGAAGGGGGGAGAGAAGGGGGGAGAGAAGGGGGGAGAGAAGGGGGGAGAGAAGGGGGGAGAGAAGGGGGAAGAGAAGGGGGAAGAGAAGGGGGAAGAGAAGGGGGAAGAGAAGGGGGGAGAGAAGGGGGAAGAGAAGGGGGGAGAGAAGGGGGGAGAGAAGGGGGAAGAGAAGGGGGGAGAGAAGGGGGGAGAGAGAGAGAGAAGGGGAGAGAAGGGGGGAGAGAAGGGGGGAGAGAAGGGGGAGAGAAGGGGGAAGAGAAGGGGGAAGAGAAGGGGGAAGAGAAGGGGGAGAGAAGGGGGAGAGAAGGGGAAGAGAAGGGGGAAGAGAAGGGGGAAGAGAAGGGGGGGGGAGGAGAGAAGCACGGCTGGGAGAAAGTGTGACGGGGAGGTTGACAGTGATGGAGAAGAGGGAGAGATAGTGTGTGATGATATGGTGAGGAGATGCGTGTGGTGGCCATGTGACAACCTGACCACCCATGCTGCAGTGCACGCTCGCATGGCAGTATGAGAGCATGCGAGCATGCATGCGGGACGTACAGGTTGGTGAGAGGAATGATGGTGCCGATGCTGGATGGCAGCACTCCATCAAACTTGTTCGTGTCTATGTACCTGGTTGGGTGGGGGGGGGAGACAGGAAAGGGGGGGAGGGGGCAGGAAAGGGGGAAGTGGGGAGGTGGAGAGGGGAGGGACGGAGGGAGGAGGGGCACGGGTTTAGTGCCTGGTGGGTGCTAAACATGTTTGTGTCAATGTACCTGGTGGGGGGGATGAAGGGGCGGATGGGGAGGTGGAGAGGGGGGGGAAGAGGGAGAAGAGGCACAGGGTAAATGCGTGGCATCGAACTTGTTCATGTCTATGTGCCTGGTGGGAGGGGGAGAGGAGGGGAGGGGGGAGGTGGAGAGGGGAGGGCGGAGGGAGGAGGGGCACGGGTTTAGCACCTGGTAGGTGCCAAACTTGTTTGGGTCAGTGTACCTGGTGGGGGGGATGAAGGGGCGGATGGGGAGGTGGAGAGAGGGGGGAGGTTGAGCAAGGGTGCAAGAGAAAGAGAGGCATTGGGTGATTGCATGGAACCATGAGAGGTGCGGATGACTGTGCAGAGCAGGGTGCAGTGCGGGGGAGAGTGGTGCAGGGCGGTGCAGAGCGGAGCAGAGCGGTGGAGGGTGGTGCAGATGGGTTGGCTCACATGTAGTTGAGGAACTTGAGCTGACCGACACAGCTCGATACCGGGCCAGTGAAGCGATTGGCGCTCAGGCGACTGGTGGAGGGGTGGGGAGAGAGGGGGAGGGGGAGGGGGAGGGGAAGGGGAAGGGGAAGGGGAAGGGGAAGGGGAACATGGTCAACATGGTCAACACGGCCAACAGGTCAACAGGTCAACATGGTCAACACGGCCAATGGGATGCAATGCAGTGAGAAGAGGAGCGCTGGCGGGGAGAGGAGCGAGGAGGGTGTGGGTTCAGTACTGACAGCTGGCGCAGGTTGGTCATGGCGCAGACAGCCGTGGGGAAGGTGGAGGGTTGAGCAGATTGCCCCATGATAACACATCCGTTCAGAGGCGGGTGGGGGAAAGAGATCAAGCTGGAGGGTGGGTGGTGGGGAGGCGAGGCGGAAAAGGGACTCACAGCTGGCGCAGGTTGGTCATGCCACAGACGGCTGTGGGGAAGGTGGAGTTGAGCAGATTGCTGGGCACATAGCTGCCATGCATGCAGGGCGGGCGGAAGGAGGGGGGTGGTGAGGAGAGGGGATGCGGAGGGCGGATATGAGGACCAGAAGAAGTGGAGTTGGTAAGGGGCGGGTAAGAGGGGCTGTGAGGAGTGCATTCATCACAGTGCGATCTCCCATATGGCATGCGGATGACACGCACACGAGCACACACACCCAGAGGCACAGAGGCGACTGACAATTTCTGCATGTTGACTAGGTTGGAGAAGGTGTCTGGTATGTTTCCCGTGAGGTAGTTGAGGTTCAAATGCCTGCTCGCCCCACAGCCGTGCACACACACACACACACACACACACACACCACACACACACACACACACACACACACACACACCACACACACACACACACACACACACACACACACACACCAGGCACACAGGAACACAGGAACACAGGGGCACAAAGGCACGCAGAGGCACAAGAGGACACAGGGACAGGGAAAGAGTCGGCAACAATGGGGAGAGCATTTAGTTCAAATGCGGGCGTGTGAGGAGGGTGGATGCGAGGAAGAGCAGCGGCTCTTGTCACGCCACCATACCAACCCGCCCCCCCACCTCCACTAACACTCACAGCTGGTACGGGCTGGTCATGTCAAGTTACCATACATCCTCCCCTCGCCCGCCTCCCCCCCTCACGCCCGGTTACCCCGTCTTTCTCCCGTTATACTCACAGCTGGTACAGGCTGGTCATGCGACCCATGGAAGCCGGGATGGTGCCGTTGAGAAAGTTCTGATACAGCTGCCTGTGAGGGGCAGTGGGGGAAGGGGAAGGGGGGAAGAATGAGGGGTGAGGGGGAAAAGAAAAGGAACAGAGCGGGGGAAGGGGACAGACACGTGTGAGCGCAGAGGGGAGAGGGCAGGGGGAGCGTCCAGCGTTGGAGTGGGGGAGGGTGGGGAGGATCAAGAGCGGAAGATGAAGGCGTGAGGAGGAGGCGGCATGTGAGAGAAAGGGCTTGGAGTGAAGCAAAGGTGAGGGGAGGGCAGGGAGAGTCGGCAGACGGTGGTTCAGCGGGCAGGGTGGGCAGGGCAGGGCGGGGCGTGCGGAGCGTGCGGGGCAGGGCGTTGAGAGACGTGGGAGGCGTTGAGGTCACTGACAGGTTCTTGAGGTTGACGAGGTTGCTGAAGGAGTCGGGGATGTCTCCGTAGATCCAATTGTGCACCGCGAAGCTGACACCAGGAGATACAAGCACGCAAGGAGTGGCACGCACAGGGCGATAGAGACAGCGGCGAGAGGCATGGGGAAGAGACATCGGGGAGACATGTCAGTGGGTGAAGTGGGAAGGCAGTGGAGAGGCAAGGAGGCACAGTAAGCAGCAGCGGCGGCGGGTAGCGGCGGCAGCAGCAGTTCGCACACACGTGGCGGCAGCTGCAACGGCGGCAGGGGACTGCCGCAGCGGCCGCGGACGAGGAGGGACTCACAATTCCTCCATCTGGGTAAGCGCGCCGATGGCGGAGGGCAGCGTGGCGAAGAGCTGCTGGTTACTCATCTCCATGCGACGGATGTAACCGTTCGTCCAGCACTGCACGAGCTGCCACGTGGCGCACGGATTGGTCGCCACCCACGACGACAGGTCAGCAGTCGCGCCCCACACCGCCTTGAGCTCCATCATTGGCCCGACTGGGGGGGAGGCGAGAAAAAAACGGGTGTGAGGGGAAGGGGGAACGAGGGGAGGTATTGAGGGAGTCGACTGTATAGAGCGGCCGTCATACTCTGCGAGCTGTGCACATAGGCGGGTGAAGCATTATTCTTGTGACAATAAGCGGAGGTGCTTCAAAACGAGTCGGACTTAAACGAGCGGCCGTCGTACTCTGCGAGCTGTGCACGTAGACGGGCGCAGTGGAAAGTATGTGACAATAAACGGATGTAACTCAAAGCGAGTCGACTGTAAAGAGCGCCTGTCGTACTCTGCGAGCTGTGCACGTAGACGGGCGCTCCCTTTGGTGTCACTCCCTTTGTCGTTATCCTCCCCCTCCCCCCTTCCCCTCCAGCTCCGCCTCCGCCTCCGCCTCCCCCTCCCCCTCCCCCTCCCCCTGCCCCTGCCCCTCCCCCTCCCCCGCCCACTCCCTCTCCTCCCTGCTCTTCCGCTAAAAAGTCCTCTACAGGCTCCTCCATTGCTGCTACTATCGAGTCCACGTATGTCGGGTCCGTCACGATCGGCCGTGTGTCTCGCTTCGGGACTTGAAGCCCCGGGGGTAGATTGGACGTACGGGGATCCGTCAGCAGTCCGTTTATGACTGACTGACGGTCGTTCGGGTTGACGGATTCTGGCAGCGGTTCAGTCAAGTAAATGGGTTCCGAGGCTGGCGAAGGGGCGGAGGCTGGCGAAGGGGCGAAGGCTCGCGAAGGAGGGGAGGCTGGCGAAGGGGCGAAGGCTCGCGAAGGAGGGGAGGCTGGCGAAGGGGCGGTAGTTGGCGAAGGAGCGGGAGCTGGCGCAACGCGAATGGTGATTGCTGGCGACGCCAGAAGGGAAACTAGCGAGGCGAAAAGGGCTATTTGTCGCAGGGTGACCCGACTTCGCGAATGAGCGCCTATTGTCGCCATGTCTAAACTCGTTCGCGCTGCTTTCCACAGGCCGTGTTGTTCTTTTTCTAAGACCCGCCGCTCGTGACGGCACTCACTAAACGTTCACAGGTCAGCAGGAGTGCTGTTCTGCTTTCATCTGATCTGTCCTCAATGCTCCTGCGTCAACGATCAAGCCTCTTCTCGCCCGCACGCTAAGGGTTGGCAAGCGGAGGGACTTGCGGGACGGCTACTGGCGCACTATAGAGGTCTACTATACCGAAGCGTGCTTTTTATAGTCGACTCAAGGATCAACTGAAGGACTGTCACCGTGCTTTCGAGATTGCCGATTGAGTGAATGCATGTGCGATCGGCTGGTAGCATGAAGGTGTACGCGGGAAGGAAAGCAGGTTCGATGCCAAGGATGACCAAGCCGCCAGCAGCGGATCCGATTCGGGGAACTTTCTCGAGCACTATCGCGAAGATGCTAATAGCGAGAACTTCGGATAAAGTCGGTGGAGGAGGATGACTAACGTATGCCACCTTCCCCTTCCAAATGTGTACGCGCAGCGCAACCAAAGGGCGGTTGGTGGCGCGAATTGGGGTGTTTGCGTTGCGACTCCTCCCCCTCATCCCCGAGCGAGGGCCAGAAATCAGTGCGGCTGGTTGGTGGGCTTGGTTGGGTGAATTGCGGGGTGGGCTGGGGCGAGATCGACGGCGGAAAGAGAAACTTCAGGAGAAAGTGCTGATGGATGGTTGTTCTGGGTGCAGTCAGCCCGTCACCTGCGTCAGATTTCTGTTGTGGCGCGCTTTGACACGCGTAGTTATGATTGGTTGGTGCTGTTTGGCATCGCTGCGACTCGACGACATGATGCGCATCATGAAGTGTTTTCCGCGCCAGCCCTGCACCGTGCTACCTGTCCTACCTCCACACCGCCATTTCACCGTCGGAAACGCATGTAGCGCAACATGCGCTGTGCTGCGGAGCAGTTGGAATGTATTCCATGTCGGTGCTGTTCGGTCTGTTGTTCTGTGAGTCGATATGGAGGTACTATTGTTTCACTTCCTGGCAGGTGACACGGTGTGTAGTGCTCATGATTGCACACCTGAGGCCCAGGTTGCTTTTCACCTGACATGTAGCGCGTGCTCGAAATTAAAACAATCCGCTAATGAACGAGGACCGGCTAACAAAATGCAATATGTTACAACTTCTTTATTCACAGGAAAAACCACTTCACTCTATTGCCGAGACATAAATACATAAATAATCAGCTGCTAAGACTCATCAATGGAGCCGGTGCAGGTGCAGGGACACAAGATTGCTTGTCAACTGTCGGCACATATCCCGCATCACAGTCGCATGAAGGGCTCCTTCCAGGACCAAACCAACATGATCCATGCCCACCGCACGTTGCCACATCAGCACCGCAAAACCTCTTACACGTGGAATTAGCCACCTGCTTTTCAACCCTGTTTGCCAGCACACACGGACTGCCCGGCGGGTACTTCAAGCAATTATACGCCAGAGAAGACTGGTAGAAAATCCCGCGCCGAGTTTGATCCGTGGGGCATTTGGTAACCGCGCCGGCGGTTACGGACGCGGTTCCGTAGAAGAAGTTGTGGTGCATGTTGTATTGGCCGGCTGTAAGCAACGTGCTGTTGAGGAACCCCGTGGGGAGCGGACCGGAGAACTGGTTGTCATGCAGGTTGCTGGTAGGTTGGGTGCGGTTGGGGTGCACATGCAATGGAATGAAGGAGGAACAGGCAGATTGATTGAGCCTCGAGAAAGAAGATTCATAAGATGCACGATGAAAACCCATGCTTGAAGATGGACGGACAGGAAATGGCTGGAGAGATAAGGCGGGTGTGAGAGCCGAAGAGGCGACAAACGAGACAGCAGGATTAGTGGACACTAGCAGGAGCAGGATCAGTGATACAAGTGGTTGCAAGAAGTGGAGTAGGACAAAGGAGTGATCCAAATGGGAGCAGGCGAACTAACACGAGCGACAGCTGAGGAAGTTGCAGGATGCCTGAAGGGAAACTTCCATAAAAGCGGTTGCCCTCCAGATAGCTGCAAGAGGTTGTGCGAGGTTGAGTGAGAGGGAGAACATGGGAGGAGAGAGAACATAGAGCAAAGGGAGAATTAGAGGAGAGAGAGTGGGAGGCTAAGCATTTTTGCTCTGACAACTGCCAGGAAGACTCCGAGGAGAGAGTGGGAGTGTTGAGACAAAGGAGGTGCAAAGTACAAAGCCGAGTAAGAACAAGTGAAAGTCGAGTAAGTTTCCTTCCGTGCGATCTTTCAGCACAAAGCGCAAATCTGGCAGGGGCTTACAGCACAGCGAGCGCCTTACAGCACTGTGAGTGCCTTGAGGTTGCTGATGCCCTGTGGAATGGAGCCGGTGAAGCGACAATTGTCCATCAGACTGTTGACGGGGAGGTGTGGGGCGGGAAGGACGAGGGTGAAGAGAAAGGGGAAGGGATGGGCGATGTTAAACTGACAGTTGCCCAGCAGACTGGCGTGGGGGAGGTGTGGGGGATAGGGACGAGCACCGATGCACGTTGCAATCAAGGGATGGCGATAGGAGCATGGCATGGCATAGCACACAGTAGCAACCATTTGCACGTCATGATACGTGATCCCACGTGGTGGGATCGCATGACATAGCACGACATAGCATGGAATGGCATGGCAGGACAGAGCAGGCAGGGAGAGAGGCGAGTGAGAGAGGACAGATAGGGGCATGGCATGGCAGAGCAGCAGGTTGGGGGGTTACATGCGGGAGAGGCGAGTGAGCTTGGAAATGGAATCAGGGATGGTCCCGTTGAATGCTGCAAACTCCATCACACTGTGGCAGTGGAAAGGGGGAGGAAGGGGTAGGCGGGAAAAAAATTCGACAAGGGGAGAACATGAAGAGGAGAAAGGGATCAGATCATAACCTGTGTTTGTTACACCATGCTGTGATTGTGTTGAAGTGAAGTATAAATGCAGGGGAATGGGAATAGAGGCAATCTGGGCATTGCGTGGCAAGATACTCACAAGTCGGTGAGGCTGACCATGTTGCCTAGGTCCGACGGCAGAGGGCCGTCCAGATAGGGATTGCTGCTCATGAAGCTGATTGGTTGGGGAGGGAGGGGGAGGGGGGGATTGGGGGCCGGGTGAGTTTGACTGGTTGAGGTGAGGGTTCCGAAAAGAGGGCAGGAAAGAAGAGAGGTGGGAGGACGGAGAGGGCAGAGAGAAGAGCGAGGGCAGGGGAGCGCGGGAGACTGACAGGATGCGGAGGTTGGTGAGAGAGGTGATAGTGGCAGGCAGAGGGCCGTTGAGACTGTTCTGATTGATGAACCTGTGAGCAGCATGGGGCAGGGTGGGGAGGAGAAGGTGCGGGCGTCAGGGGACGGCAGGCGGCAGGTGAGTGAAACAGGTGGCAGGCGGCAGGTGAGTGAAACAGGTGGCAGGCGGCAGGTGAGTGAAACAGGTGGCAGGCGGCAGGTGAGTGAAACAGGTGGCAGGCGGCAGGTGAGTGAAACAGGTGGCAGGCGGCAGGTGAGTGAAACAGGTGGCAGGCGGCAGGTGAGTGAAACAGGTGGCAGGCGGCAGGTGAGTGAAACAGGTGGCACGCGGCAGGTGAGTGAAACAGGTGGCAGGCGGCAGGTGAGTGAAACAGGTGGCAGGCGGCAGGTGAGGCGAGTAAAAGACATTTGGCGGGGGGGAAGGCAGGCGGCACAGCATGAATTTTTGAGACGGCTCAGAAATACACTTTAATCGCGACAGGCGGCAGGTAAGGTGCGTGAAACACATTTGGCGGAGGGAAAGGCAGGGGGCACAGAATGAAGGGCAGTCATGCTTACAGGCTCTGCAGCAGGGGCATATCGTGTATGGTGATGGGGAGAGTAGCTTTGTTTCAAGACGTTTCAAAAATGTTTATTTATTTCCACCTAGAAAGGCACAAAGGGCACGGCATGCTTACAGGTTCTGCAACATTGGCAGGTCGCCTATGGTGCTGGGGAGGGTGCCAGTGAACCAGTTGGTGTCTATGTAGCTGGTGGGGGGGAGGCGGGGGGGAGGAGAGGGGAGGTAAGGCCGCAGGAAATGTCAAGTGTACTGGTTGCAGGTAATAGAAGTGGCAACGAGAAGCAGGGGCAGGTCGATTGGTGCAACTCACTCACAGAATACTGGTTACCACTCACAGGTAGTATGCGTTCGTGAGATGCCACGTGTTGAGACGTCTAACCACTCACAGGTAGTAGGCGTTTTTGAGATTGCTGATGCACTCGGGGACTGTGCCAGAGAAGCGATTGTAGCTGATGCGCCTGCAGTGAACGGGGTGGTTGAGAGGAGATAGACAGGGATACAAGCTTGCTAACAGGGGAGAGATGTGGCCTGGCCCCCGTGGGCATGCGCTGCACAGGATGAAAGCAGGGATACACGTATGCTAACCGGAATTTTTGAGGCGCCTCAAAAATACAAGCTTGCTCATAAGGGAGAGATGTGAGGGGTGGAATGTCCCCAGTGGGCATGCGCTGCACAGGGTGCGAGCAGGGATGCAATGCTGACCGGAAGAGAGGAGAGAGGAGAGAGGAGAGAGGAGAGAGGAGAGAGGAGAGAGGAGAGAGGAGAGAGGAGAGAGGAGAGAGGGAGAGGAGAGGGAGGAGAGAGGAGAGAGGGAGAGAGGAGAGAGGAGAGGGGAGGAGAGGAGAGAGGAGAGAGGAGAGAGAGGAGAGAGGAGAGGAGGAGGAGAGGAGAGGAGAGAGAGGAGAGAGGAGAGAGGAGAGAGGAGAGAGGGGAGAGGAGAGAGGAGAGAGGAGAGAGGAGAGAGGAGAGAGGAGAGAGGAGAGAGGAGAGAGGAGAGAGGAGAGAGGAGAGAGGAGAGAGGGGAGAGGAGAGAGGAGAGAGGAGAGAGGAGAGAGGAGAGAGGAGAGAGGAGAGAGGGGAGAGGAGAGAGGAGGGAGGGAGAGGAGAGGAGAGAGACGAGCACTGACAGCTCCCAGATGGACGTCATGTTGCAGAGCACCGGAGGGAAGGGGCCTGAGAGCAGGTTGCTGGACACGTAGCTGGTGTGGGGGGGGGGGGGGCGGGGGGCAGGTGGGGAGAAGGGGGAGGGAAGGGAGGAGCGGACAGAGAGAACGTCATGTTGCAGAGGACAGGAGGGAAGGGGCCTGAGAGCAGGTTGCTGGACACGTAGCTGGTGTGGGGGGATAAGGAGGGGAGGAGGGAGAGGGAAGGGGAGGGGGGGAGAGGGGTGGAGGCAATGGAGAGCGTTGAGATGTGTGCCAGTGACATATAGGGAGAGGGGAGGGAGGGAGGGAGTGGAACGTTTGGGACGTGCAGTTGGAGGAAGGGGAAGGCAGCACACTCACAATTTGCGCATGCCAGTGAGCTGGGAGAACGAATCTGGTATGCCTCCCGTGAGGTAGTTGAGGTTCAGGTGGCTGCGATGGGTGAGGTACAGTTCAGAGCGGTTTAGAAGTGTGGGGATGCGATTGGTGGCAGAATTCCGAGGAACAAGGAAGAGAGAAAGGTGAGAGGGGATTGGAATGGAATAGAATCAGGGGAACATGTTGGAGCAGAGTAATTTGGGTAGCTTGATCAGGGATGAAAGAAACTGGCCATGGGGAATAGAAGGTTGGTCAAGGGACCATCACCGTGTGGCTATTGCACCCTCTCCTCACTACGCTTACACACAGCTGCTGCTACTCCCCTCGCCACGCACTCACAGCTGGTACAGGCTCCTCATGTTGCCCATGGAAGCCGGGATGGTGCCGTTGAGAAAGTTCCCCCCATGACACTCACAGCCTCTACTCCCTCCTCCACTCCCCTACCACACTCACAGCTGGTACAGGCTCCTCATGTTCCCCATGGAGGCCGGGATGGTGCCGTTTAAGTCGACTCGTTACAACGTCACACGGTGTTCTGGAGTCAACTCAAAAGCCATTGCACCTTTGCCCCACACTCACAGCTGGTACAGGCTCCTCATGTTCCCCATGGAGGCCGGGATGGTGCCGTTTAGGTAGTTCTTGAATAGTTGCCTGCATGATGGAGAGGAGAGAAGCGGAAAGAAGCGAGAGAGAGAGAGAGGCAGTGCGTGTGACGGAAGGAAGGGAGAGGCTCTAGAGCCGTGCAAGGGAACAATCGCTTTGCAGGGAGCATTGTGGCGCGCAGTGGGTGGACTGGCAGGGGTCAGTGCCAGTGGCAGGGGGCTGGCAGCGTGCAGTGCAGTGATTGAAGGGGTGCGATGGCAGGGCGTGCAGGGCATGGGAGGCGTTGAGAGGCGTTGAGAGGCGTTGAGAGGCGTTGAGAGGTGTTGAGAGGTGTTGAGAGGCAGAGCAGGGCAGAGGGGCACTGACAGGTTCTTGAGGTTGACGAGGTTGCTGAAGGAGTCGGGAATGTCTCCGTAGATCCAATTCGTGGTCGCGATGCTGTGTGGGTGGGAGGGGGGGAGGGGAAGAGGGTGGAACAGAATGGACACAAAGGGGTCGACAGATGGTGTGAGTGACACTGACGATGATGATGAGAATCCAAATCTGTGGAAGGGCTGTGGAGGAATGCACGCATGCAACCTTACAGCTCTTCCAGCGATGTGAGGTTCCCCAGCACGGAGGGCAGCGTGCCCTTGATGCCCTTGGAGCTCACGCCCATGCGCCTCACGAGCCCGTTGGTCCAACACGTGACGAGGGGGAGTGAAAAGAGGGGCTGTGGGGGCAGGCAGGCACGCAGGTACGCTTACAGTTCTTCGAGCGAGGTGAGGTTTCCCAGCACGGAAGGTAGCGTGCCCTTGATTCCCTTGGAGCTGACGTCCATGCGCCTCACGAGCCCGTTGGTCCAGCACGTGACGAGCCACCAGCGGCTGCACGGGTTGCTGCCGTTCCACGACCGCAGGTCCATGAAGCTGCCCCATGCTGCGCGCAGCTCCATCAGCGCGGGGACTGGCGGGTGGGAAGGGGAAGGCGGAAGGAGAACGAGGACGGGGGATGTGGGGGAAAGAGGTTGCTGCCGTTCCACGACCGCAGGTCCATGTAGGTCCCCCACGCTGCGCGCAGCTCCATCAGCGCGGGGACTGGGGGAAGGCGGCGGAAGCGAAGGGGGAATGCATCAGCGCAGTGCACAACGCGGGGGGGGAGGGGGGGGTGGGGTGGGGGGAGGTGGAAGTGGAAAGGTGGGTGCAGTAAGAGCCACAAAGGTGGGTAGCAGGAGGGTTGACCTGGCACTGGCAGTGCATGCGCGCGGTCTCAACAGCGCGCAGCGGAAATGGGTCGTTAAAACTGTGTTGTGATATGGCGCTCAGTGGCGTAACAGAGCGTGATTTCAGTGGCGCGCAGTGGGAACGGGTGGTTACGTTGTGAGGGAGCCACGTAGACTGGCTTCGCGAGCGTGCCGACTTTGAAGGCGGAAGTTGCGGAGGCGAAGAGCACGACGAGCAATGCCGCGAAGAGCAGCGTGCGGAACGGCAAGAAGACGCGGTCACGGCGCGCCGATACTGACCGCGGCCTTGCGAGGGACAGTACGGAAGATTGCCTCATGGTGAGGGCCGGTGGTGAACGGTGAAGCAAAATTGGCGAAGAAGCCTTCCCGAATGACAGGACGACGAGACGCGGGATGGGGCGGCAATCAGGGTTGGAGACAGGGAAAAATGTAAGATGGCGATTAAGAAGCGCTCTCTCGATGTAAGTAGGCCACCTGGACCAAGCTCCTGCTACAAGCGAGGATATAGATGAGCACCCAACCAGGTTTTGACTACACAGAAATCAGCTGCCAATGGTGACATTACAAAATAAATGAATCAAGACTCCCGAACGTCGGCACGTATCCATTAGTTTGACAGCTCTTAGGAACACTGGGAATAAAGAAGCAAGAACACCTTCAAACAGAAGCAAGTTGGGCCACCATAGCTCATGGCGGTGTGCGTGTGTGCTGTTTGCTTGCTGGCTAGCCAACGGAGAAATCGATGGCAGCTCAAGGCGATTCGAAATGTGCACTTTTCGTGAATTCGCACACACAGTACAGTGCAGTTCGCCGACGCAGCCTCGCACTGCTGATCGCACAGTACCGAAGCACCTATGGGCAGTTGTGTGGGTGGTGGTGCTGCTGTTGGTTGGTTGTGGATCAGACAGCGAGTGCCTGTCGCAGGGCTGGTTGTTGGGCCTGTCCGAGCTGTTCGTTGCTGGCTCTGTCTCCTTTTTGCGACGATGTGCGATCGGATATGACGTGGCTGACGAAAATTACGTTTCGTTCTGCGACCGCAGCATGTGGGTGCGAATAAAACAATATGCTGTACAATCCACAAATCAATACAAGTCTCCCGCGTGGAAAAACACAAGACGATATTGCAACACTTAACAACAGGAATGGAGACTATTCTTGGCCACCATGTTTCTACCCACAACATTGCCGATTCCATGTTCCTGGCCTACATGCAGGGGCTACGCCCCTTCATGCCAAAAACATCACATCATACCACTGACATGTTCAGTATTTATGTTCCTCAACATGCTAGACTAGTGAACCTCAGCTACTCTCGCAAATACCAATGCAACCCTTCCATCGACCTAAAGAATCTGAGGCCAAGCTCAAAAATGGATCGGTTATTACCGTGGTAATACATCTCCTAGGCCCTGCCCCAGTAATGCAGGCAGAAATGCAGCAAACATCAATTTCCTACGATGGGAAAGGCCTCCACATGCCATCACCAGCCACCGCGGTTGAACTAGATACCTACCAACTAAAATGTCTCCCAGAAGTTCTAAATGACCTAATGCAGCTACTCCAATGCTTCAAAATAAACCTAAGGACTTCAAATGCAACTCGTCAGTGAGTTAACCTACCAAGTCCATTGCCGCTTACTTTATCACCTTGAACGGCCGCATCATGTCGTTATCCTCGTGATCCAGCATGTGGCAATGGTACACGTAACCCGGGCCAACAGACGCGTCAAACTTGAGAGGCTTGCCGCTGTTGTCATGCCAACCGAGCCAGAGCGTGAGCACCTGACCGGGGAACGCGGGCGTGGTGTCCTTCCATCCGTCCTCGGTGGGGTCGACCTTCACCCGCGGGCCCGTCCAGCAACGCGGGAGCTTGTTGCCGCGGAACGCGCACTTGCCCGCCTGGAACGCCGCGACGTCGAAGGGACGGCGAGAGACGGGGCGATGGTCGACGAGGTGGATGTGGAAGGGGTGCGCGTCGGCCGACAGGTTGATGATGTGCCACAGCTCGTTCGTACCCTGCGGTGTGGGGGGAGAGGGGGAGGAGATGCAGTAGAAAAAGAAACCACGCATTGAAAAAACCAAGCCTAGCGAGCAAAAAAGCACGAGTCTCTCTGAAAGAAAGAACGCTCTCAAAAGCGAGGCTTGTGCTGGCAGCAGAGGCTGGCAACCGAGGCTGCCAACCGTGGGTCGAGCAGCAGCGTGGCACGGCACTGACCTGCTTGGGGAAGTCCCTGACGGGGTCCATGAAGCCGAGGTTGTCGATGGTGATGCGGATGGGCAGCTGCGTCTTGGGATCCATCTGCTCGATCAGCCTGTGCCAGCGAACCTTCTGGATGTTCTTGTAGTCGATCGGGGGAAGGTACTGCCATGCGGGAAGGTGGGAAGAGAAATGTTTTTGTTGGACAGCCGGAATTGTAGTACCCAAGAATGCGAAATCACGACAATATATTTGAAAAGTCGGGATTGCATGGATTTACGCGCGTACCGAGATGGTGCTGGGGACTTTAGCGGCGGGGATGCGCTTCTTGTTGGTGATGACGAAGCGCATGACAAGCCCCGTGTCGCGATCAGCCGTCACACCAGCGGGGTAAGGCGCGTTCGCGGTGTTTTGGAGAATCACGTCCTTGCAGGTGGAGGGCAGGCTGGAGAAGTCAACGAGCACGTCCAGACGAGAACCGGGGACGAGCAGCACCGACTTGGAAGTCACCGGCTTCGCCACGTACCCGCCGTCGGTGGCAATCTGCGCGTCAAAAGAGGGCGTGTTAGCGCGTGTGCGTCACGCAAAGGCGCGAGATTGCGTAGAAGGAAATGTGAGCGCAATGCGGACTGCGTGATCAGTGTTATCACTTACGGTAACAATGTCGAGAACTTGGCCCTTGAGCGGCGGCACGAAGTTGGGGTAGTCGCCGCGCTGCGCGCAAACGAACTGCAGATTGTAGAAACGCGCGTTCGCCGCTCCCAGCATCTTGAACCGGTACACCGCAGGCCGGACCTTGAGGTACGGCCAAACCACGCCGTTGACCATGTTGGTGTCGCCAATGTACTCGGGAATCCAGTTGGGATGCACGCTCGGCACGATGCCCACGTTCGGGTAGTTCACCGACCCGTTGGCGAAGAACAGACGATCCGCGATGGCGAGCGGGACGGTGCGGCTGAGAGGTGGTAACCAGGTAAACTTGGACTCGACCTTGGGGTCCGTGATAATGTACAGCCCCGCGAGGCCGGCAGCGACATTAAGGCGCGTCATGCCCGCCATGTGGTCGTGGTACCACACGGTGGATGCCTCGTCGTTGATATACTTGTACGTGCTGTTATAGAAGGTGGGGCCTTTCTCGCCGTACTGCGTGAACCACGCGAAAGGGTGGCCGTCGTAGTAGCTCTGCTGGGAGCCGCCGTGACGGTGCACAACTGTGAGGCCATTGGGGGAAGAGAAAGCTGAGTCAGACAGGATACGCGCAAGGAGTACTAATGCATGCGCGTGACGGGATGACAGTACCGTTGATTGCACACTGACGCTAGCTCAAAATCGATAGCATTTTCACTCAGTCTAAGATCTTACCAATGGGAATGCCCTTCTTCGGGACCTTGACGCCCATCATGATGGTGGGGTCGACGGTGAACATGTGCGTGTTGTCGAGCAGGTGGTTCTCCCACGTGACGGTCGTGTCGATGCCCACCTTGGCCACGATGGTGGGGCCGGGGTACGACGCCGTCTTCTGACTCGTGCCGTACGCGTACTGCTTCGTCGCCGGCAGATCTCGATGGAATTTCTGCCACACGCAGTGTCGAACGGAGACATTACCGTCAGCCGCAGGGGCGCATAATGTGTGTTCATGCCTTGAGAAGAGCCAAACAATGGTGAGAATTAATACCTGGTAGATCTGGTAGGCACCAATGGTGAGCGGCTTGGTGCCATCGAGGGTGGGGATGACGCGCGTGGTCAAGCTGTCGACGAACTTGCACAGGGGCCTCTGAGGGAACGCGTTCTTGCACTTTGGGCCTGCTGTGGCCGTGGGAGTTGGAGCAACGGCTGCATTGGCAATGTAGGCTACAGCAAGGAGGACGAGAAGAGCGAGCGTACAGCGATTAGCGCGAGCCATGGTGTGCCTTGATGGTAGTGGTACTACGTGAATTGCTTGGACTTCCTGGGGATGAAACTACGCAAAACTAGCTCTTATATGTTGCAAGGGTTGTCCTGGTGGTAGTGACGGGGCCAGGTAAGTCCGTGATCGTGTATCCACGCGAGGTGCTTGTGTTGAAGCACGCCGAGCCGCGAAAATCGAGCCGCCCCGCAAGCAAGTGCACCCGTGAATGTGCGGATTCGAATTTTGCGTGGGCAGTGGGAGGGTGATCCGCGAGCCAGGTAGCCCGGCTCGGATGTGTTCTTCTATCGGAGGTCATGCAATGAGACACACGCAATATTTCATCATGGTTGGATAAGTGCTTGACGTGACGGATGGTTCGGCAGCTCGAGTTTGGTTTGTACGGCTCACAGTAGTTGTCCGCCAATGGCTGATAAGGGATGTGCTTATGACCGTCAAGTGCGCAACGAGTCCCATTGACTTTGAATGTTCGCTTTACAAGAAACATTCTTCGGTCAAGGCCATACTCGATACGATCTGATCTGGACCAGAGAAGTGGGGAGGATTTCATGCTAGATTGAAACCCCTTAAACACAATATGATTATTGTAGAATGGCCTACAGCTCCAGCTCCCTGTGCAGCCTTCCCATCACAGTGGCAGTGGCGACAGGGAGGCGACGGCTGGTGCTGCATGTGCACGGCCCACCACGGGGGATGTGGCGAGGGTCGCAACAGGTGCAAAGGGGGGGGGTGACGACAAAAAGGGCCCGCACGAAAGCCTCGAAAGGGGGTCGCAAGAAGGGTCACTGCCAGGGGCAGCGACGGGAGCCGCAACGTGGTCAATGAGAACCAGCAGGAGGGTGCAACGGAAGGGTGTGACAGGGGTGGCGAGAGCCTGCAGCGCCATGTTAGCAAATGGAACAAATGAGAATGAGCATAAAAACAGCATGCAGGAATACAAGAAAGATACCCTAAGATAGAAATGTGTTGTACTCACTAGTGCATAACTCAACATAGTCCATACTAAAGTATGTTACAGATAATTTGACACGCCGCTCAGCCGCCACTACCCTACTGCGACTGCTGATGTGGGGAGAAGGCGAAGGGGGTGACGGCAATGGCGGACGGAGCTGCGGACGCCACCCCTCGCCGCCCACCTACCCCTCTCTCTCCCTGCTGCGCCTGCCGCAATGGGGGATATTGAGGGGGTGGCGGGAGTGGGCTTGCAATGCCTGCAATCTCTCGCTCTCTCTCTCTCTCTCTCTCTCTCTCACTCTATCTTCTCCTCCTACCACCTGCTCTTTCGCGTTCCGCTGCGTCTCTCCCCTCATCGTAACCCTCCTCCTCCTCCTCCTCCTCCTCTCCTCCTCCTCCTCCTCCTCCTCCTCCTCCTCCTCCTCCTCCTCCTCCTCCTCCTCATCCTCCTCCTCCTCCTCCTCCTCCTCCTCGTCCTCCTCCTCCTCCTCCTCCTCCTCCTCCTCCTCCTCCTCCTCCTCCTCCTTGCGGAGATTCACTCTACAACGGTAGTGAGCTAGACTACGGGTGTTGGCACGAACTACGAATGACTACATCAGGCACCTAGCAACTCTGCAGCTAGCCTGGTCGACCGCCAGCACTGCATGGTCGACCGCCTGCCAGCGTTGCGTAGAGGAGCCGCGCCAGCACTGCAGAAGAGCGACCTGCCAACACTGCAGGTCGACGACGTGCCAACGCTGCAGCTGTGCAGCTGTCCAGCGTTGCCCCTTAAAAGACAGCAGTGCGCACGCTCGCAGGTGCGCGCAGACGATTGGCCCGACTTGCCTCGTTGGGCATCCGTCGGCTGTTGTCTGCGCCTGACGAGCCACATCGACTTCGGGATACCAACCCGCAGTCGTCTACGCCATCGCGACCTCGACGAGGTTCGCATGCCTCCGCCGAACTCGTCGAGCAGGTTACCCGGTCGACCCGGACACCACCAGGTGCCTCTGGTCGACCGCATCTCCCTCTGGTCGACCACCAGGTGCTCCTGGTCGACCACAGCTCCAGTCGAGCTACCCCCCTGGTCGACGGACTTCCGTCGACCAGAACTGTCAGCGGTTGTCGCCGAGCTCCCCTCGTCGACCGCTGCTCACTTGTCAGGTCGACGGACTGCTCCGTCGACCTCCCGGTCGAGCTGCAGCTCGACGGGATGCACCGCAGACCTCCCCGTCGAACTGCAGGTCGACGGACTGCTCCGTCGACCTCCCGGACGGCCCACCCGTCGCCCAGGCCAGTCAGTTGCAGCTGTCGAGCTCCCTGGTCGACAGCGATGCCACAGCGGTCCCCTGCAGCTCGACGTAGCCTGTCGAGCAGCTCTCCCACTGTGAACGGTCGGCTGCTACTCCCGTACATCCGACCAAGTCGTCGGCGTTGCCCAAGCGAGGGCGGGGCCAACACTCCATTCCCGTTAACACTCCTCCTCCTCCTCCTCTTCCTCCTTCTCTGCCACCCTCCTGCCCTCCGCTGTGGAGAGATTTGGTGGCGATGGCGGGGGTGGTTTGCGCCGCTACTGACAACATGCCGCCGCACTGCGGCCCACCTCCCTGCCGCGCCTGACGATGAGAGGGACGCTCGTGGGATGCAGTGAAGGGGGGGGGAGGAGGAGGAGGAGGAGGAGGAGGAGGAGGAGGAGGAGGAGGAGGAGGAGGAGGAGGAGGAGGAGGAGGAGGAGGAGGAGGAGGAGTAGGAGGAGGAGAGAGGAAAAGGAGGAGCGAAAGTGGGTGGTGAAACGACACGGGTACGTATTTGTTATCGAGGAAAGCGACGCTCCGGATTCAGGAAATGTAAATGTTAATGCTTTTAAAGAGAACGAATACGTTGATGAATTTGATCGACACACGGGAAGACAAAACTGTGGTCACTCTAATGCTAGGTCTGTTGGAAGGGGAAAAAGCGGGGAGAGAGGGAACGGGGGGAAAGAGGAGTAAAGAGGAGTTGATCGAGGAGTGGGGAGGGACGTGGACGGAGGAGCGTGGAGGAGGAGAAGGGCGATGCGACCGTAATAGTGCTGAAAGAACAGCTTCAGGAGGAGGATCGGCTGATGGAGCGGATTGAGGAGTTCAAATACCTCCTTAGACCATCTAGACTTATAAGTGACTGTACTGCTCGGCCACTATGCGGGGCTGTTGGAAGTGGACACTGGAATGGTCGAAGTGGTAACCATAAGGGTTACAGGTCATCTTGGGGGGTATAGGCATGTTCACCCATAAAGGAAACATTCCCTTTTATCCCAGCTGGCTAGCAATCTGGAGCTATCCCTACAAGGACAAGTATCAGACGCAAATCATGGATCCTATTCAAGCTCCCTCCCTCCTTGTCATCCTTTCCTCCCAACCTCCCCCCATTCCAAACATCATTTCCCCGATTCCCCTAATAAGGGCCCACTTGAAGTTTCTTAATCATAGTACCTCTGCTCCTCTTCCCCCTTGCATGAATCTTCTCCCCCCCCTGCCCCCCCCTGCATGCATCTCCTTCTCCCCTGCATGTATCTCGTCCCCCCTTACATGAATTTCCTCCAACCCATGTGACCGGGCAAGACAATAACTACTTAGTGGTGCGGCATACACCTGTTCTCCGATATCTTCACTACCCTTAATTTCACATCGCGGCTCGGTGTCACTTCGGAGTCCTTAGCCCAACTTTCTTGGAAGGTTAGCTGCCAAAGTGTGGTTGAACATCTAGACCCCCCCCCCCCCCCACAGAAATGACGCAATTTATACTCGTGAGGCTGAGTTGGAAGCCACAACTTATGAAATATTCGGGGTGTATTCTTGGTGAGGTTCGGACTCGGAGATTTGACTTCGTGTCGTGTGAGCATGCTGTAAATTCTGAACTTCGTCTCCTGTCAAAACAGTGTCAACGTTTCGTAGACCGACATGACTTTCTTCGGAACAAAACTGAGCAACGCCCTGATTATGTTTTGGGTGTGAACCCAGCCCCACGCAATCCTGACGTGGCGATGTAGCACTGGCTGGATAAATTTCCTTGAGATCGTGCAATGTACTTTATCCATGGCTTTGCGGCTCGTGTGTGAAATTAACTGTCAGAGGTCCACTGGGGATCCCCGATGATCCTAGGGAAGGGTTACAGGCACGTCGGCCTGGGGGGTTATGGGCGCACTCACCCGCTATATAAACAAGCCCTTTTATCCCAGTGGTTAGTGACTGGGATTCTGACATGGTATCAGAGCGAAGGTCTCGGGTTCGATTCCCGGTGTGTGCACTTCGGGCATCCCAGTGCGGGGGGGTGTCAGAGGTCCACTGGGGATCCCCGATGATCCTAGGGAAGGGTTACAGGCACGTCGGCCTGGGGGGTTATGGGCGCACTCACCCGCTATATAAACAAGCCCTTTTATCCCAGTGGTTAGTGACTGGGATTCTGACATTAACCATAACTTTTTTGCTCTGTCAAATTTCACACCCTCTCGGGCAAACGTTAACGCGACTCGGGTATGTCCCCCCGTGAAATTACAGGAGGAGAGGTGTACTTCCTTCGGTTGGTCCGTGAGTCATGTCCTTTCCCCTCCCACATTCTCTTCCCTCCCCCCTGCCCTCTCTGGCTGGCAGGACAACGACCATCTGGTGCAGCATTTAGAGTCGCTGCTGCTCATGCCCCCTTTCCCATGCATCTCTCTTCACCCCCCACCCCCCTTCGCCCCCCCCGGAACTGTTCGCCCCCCCCTTTCCCTGCTCCCCATGGCTTGCAGGGAAATGACTACCTGCCACTGTGTTTAGAGTCTCTGTTGCACATGCCTTGAGTCTTACATGATTGCATTGTCTTTTGGGTGTCCATACCATTGTATTTGATAACAAACGGATTCAATTTGATAAGGTGTAAGCAATTGGTTCTGGAAAGATGTTTCTACAACACCAAAGATACAGCAAAGTGCATTTTCTCTTCATTAAGTTCTTGGAAGGTGATTTGGATATACAGAAGCTCCTAAGGGAGCTTCTATTCAAAGTTGATGATATGCCAGCTCGTTTTTTCTCATTGTATCGAATCTAGACGCCACAGCTCGCATTGTGGATCTTCCCGAGAACTCTGTATGGCGTATTCGCGCCCTGGTAAACGCGTTCCTTCTGTTCCCCGGGACGATGCCGTTGACTCGACTCTGTCACCTGTGAACCGCAATTGACGGTTGAACGGCAAGGATATTCGTTCAACCGTGAACTGGGGATTCCAAAAAGCGATGCCATGCAGAACCACACGGGCAGGCTGAAAGTTCCAACAATGACCACACGCATGCTAGCCTATCATCATGACCAACCCATCCACATGGCCAGCAGGCAAACGCACATTCCTGAATTCCCCCAAACCACATCCGTTGCATCCGAGATGTCCAAGCAGGAAAATTCACCTGACCGATGCCGTTTGTCCATCCCTGCCCGTCAAAATTCGTCGCCGCGGCTGCAATGCTGGCAGCGAGGAGATACCATACGGTAACCAGACCACCGCAGGAAGTCCTCCTCTGCTCCCCTGGTCTGGTCTGGTAGCAAGGCTGTCAGGCT